CTTGAAAGTGAACAAAACTATATGTACTGTTAGTGATCCAGTGCAAATCTGTCTTGAGGGAAAGGGAACAGAGTAGTTACCTGAGGTGGTTCAAAGTTTGGTCTCCACCAGTTCCCAATACAGTCATCAATGACCCAGTCCTGTTTCACTCCATCCTGACGCCCCAAAATCTTGACAACAAATTTAGGAATTATCCTTAGTGTATATCAATTCATTCTTTGCTAGTTGTTACATAATATGGCATTTAATGTCATACAAGATGGTACAATACTCTGATAATAAGTGTTTATGGCTGACTGGCATTTATACTCTTTCAGCTTTGAACAGATTAGTTAAAAAAAAAATCTGCATATTCCAACAATTATTACTGTAAATACAGTCAAAAAAGCAATAATACCTCAGTCATTAGTCGTTTCAGCCCCTCCACTTCATCCTCTCCAGGGTTCAACTCACCCCCGGGACTGGAAAAAACAATGTATAAACCATCAGCCACTGACAAACGTTTTAGTAGACACTTATTCAATAAATGCATAATGAACAAACAAAACATCGCAAAGAAAAGAAAACAAGTCATAGCAAAATAATGAACAAATGTATGAAGAATCATATACAGTGGTGTGAAAAAGTGTTGGCCCCCTTCCTGATTTCTTATTTTTTTGCAACGATAGGTTACTTTTAACAATAGAGTACAGTTTAACCACTGAAAAGCATCCATTTGAATCGATCACACCATAACACACAAACTCCAGTGAATCACTGGCTGCTTACAGCTTGAAGAAGGTGGTTCCCAACTGCAGCAGCAGCACGTGAGGGAGTCTGTGCTCGTGAACGATCAGAACCCCTTCCACCGTCCGCCGCATCCCAGTTTTCTCAAATTCTTCCCGCATCCGCTGAAAGCGTGCGGCTACCGAGCTGTCCTTCTCATAGAGCGGCTCCTTGGTGCCGAATGTGTAATTTGTTAAAGGATATCTGCAAAAAACAAACATCATGATGTTCAGGAGTGAAATGAAGATATGATAGAACTTTACTGATCCACTGGGGATCAGCAAACAGGAAATTATGCAAAAAATGCACTTCAAATACATGGATGACGCACTTAATTAAGTAAAAAAAAATAAGTGTGGAATGTTGGACACTTCATGCAGCGACTGTAGCCGCTTAAAATAACCATATAGTTAAAGGATATCTGCAAAAAACAAACATCATGATGTTCAGGAGTGATTCAAATGAAGATATGATAGAACTTTACTCATCCACTGGGGATCAGCAAACAGGAAATTATGCAAAAAATGCACTTCAAATACATGGATGACGCACTTAATTAAGTAAAAAAAAATAAGTGTGGAATGTTGGACACTTCATGCAGCGACTGTAGCCGCTTAAAATAACCATATAAAAGTCAGATAGATGGCAGAGTATATAGTACATGTGCATAGTGAGTGTATAGAGCATAATTTGGGACAAATTGATGTGTCCGGCTATGTGTATATGGATAGAACAAAAGTAAACCGTGTAAAGTAAATCTCGAGCTTAACTATCTCTGATTGGCTGGAAGTCTCAGTTTATCTAGTGTGAGTTAAAGCAATTTTTTTGAGGAACATTGTGTCAAGTGTTCATTTAAATTCAAAGATGCTGTGTACATCTTATTTGCTATCACAATCTTATATTTTAACCCTGTCTAAGGCAGAGTACAAATATTAACGCCTCTGGTTCACAATTACAATTCTTCGCTGGATAGTTACACTGGAAAAAATATGTAAACAGAAACATTTAGCGTTACTGTAACTGTAAACGTTGTGTTTGTACTCGAAACTTTTCACGTTTAGGTAATTGCACCAAACGACTACTGTTATTTTCGATTAACTGTGCAATAAAACAACAAGAAAACAATACCATCTGCTACCGATAAAATATAACAAAAACGATGTTTTGAATGGCATTTTCCCTTTATTTTAACTACTTAACGTATATATGTACAAGTTAACGTTAATATAAACGTGCACACGCAAACAAACAGCATTAACCAGGAAGGAGCTACGATTGTTGGCCAGGTTGATGCGTGATGCTGCTTCAGCAGAAGCCATTGTACATCACTGAGATCGCTGAGCATTGCTTATGAAATAAATGTAATTGCACACGCAGTTTGCAGCGGTGAATGTTACTCACAGATTGATTGTTCTCTCCAGGGTGAGCGGTTTAGCCGGCTGGCTAATGTATTTATTGCCGAACTGATTTACTCCACGAGGCCAACCGGTAGATGATCGATTAGGAGGTACAACTGACATCGTATGACGGATAATATAGTGGCTTCTTAATCTTTGCACTAATCACTTTTTTTAACTGTTGATTACAATATTACTGGGGTTGAATCTCACAGCATTGGCGCTCGATGAATACGGCACTCTGCTGTGAAAGCACATCCGGGACATCCGGCCACGTCCTGTGTTACGACCGTGCGTTTCGCTTTACGGCTCATCTGCTTCCTATCATACGTCAGCATTGAGGCTTTTTGAACATATAATATTAATAATTATTTTTTCTAAGCTGTAATTATAATATTGATAAAATACCAGTGAAACTAGCTGAATTTCACCGTCAGGCCTTTCTATCATGGTCTTTGATCCACAAGCACAATTTTTCACCTCATAGGTAGGCTACTATATGGAACAATAAGGATATATTTACACAAATCGCTTTATCTGAAACACTGGTTTGATAATGGCATCATATTGATGGATCAGTTATTTAATTTAAATGGTTTTCTTTTTACTTAAGGTGAGTTTTTGGCACATTATAAAATTCCTGTAACACCAGGGGACTATGCCAAAGTTTTTGGGGCTATTTCTCCTGAAGTTTGTGTTATTTAGACATCAGACAAGAATTAACATATGTATTATTTTGGTATATTGGAGAACAGCAAAGAAAAGCACAGTCACGTTTACATGATAAATCTTGTTTTTTTACATGCAAAATTTCATATTCACAAATGTAAGTTCTCCTGCAAAAAAACTTTTCTTTTATGAAGGAAATGGAGCATTATATTGATACTATACGATTTTCTATGAAACAAAAAGCAATTAAAACGGTGAAAGTTTGTAAACGCTTTAATATTTTTATATAAATTTGTATTTGTATACAGCCCCTCTAGTGTGAAATTGTTTATTTCATGTATAATGTTTATTGATTATATCATATATTATATCATGTATAGTGTTTGTCATATACATGTAATTTGATCTTGTTAATAAAAAAAATCCTAAAAAAAATTATATATATATTAATAAATATTACAGCGTATTGATGGATAAGTAAAATGTGTTTATTATACTCATAAACACGTTATTATTTTATTAAGCCATATTTCTTTCTTTCTTTTTTGCTCCTCTAATTTATATTCATTACCAAGTAATCACGACAGTACGAAAAGTAATAGGCCTATTTTAACTTTCTCAAAATAAATAATTTAGTTAAACCATTTATCTGTGGTAGGGAATAGTAAAACCAACTGAATAAAATCTCTTTCTAATACATTTATCACCCTTTTATAAAAAATACTACAGGCCTATTCCACAATATGACAGAGATTTTTCAGTTTACTTATGAAACTGTTTAATGTAATCTCCTCATTCATTTATTTTAAGAAGTAAAATGAGATTTGCTGCATGCTTTTAAAATAGGTTTATTGTTTTACTTTTTTTTGTGTACATATTTTTAACATGCTGGCGGGAGTCAGGAACAGACTACATCCAGAAATAATTATGAAACATTGGTTTCCTTTCTTGCTTTCATGCTTTTGTGTCTTGCTGTGTTTGTCTACATTCATTTTTTTTTTAGCAGTGCAATTAATTACATTATGAAAGAAAAATAAGTATACAATGAAAGACTTGCAAGCTATGTGAAAAAGCAATCTTCTCAAAATAAACCATTTAATTGTTGCTCTTTGGTAGAGAATAGTGGAAAATTAAAAGTATAAACTAACACTAAATAAACACTATTTCTAATACAGTTATCACCCTTAGTGCAATTTATTTTATTCCATCATAGTTCCCATCTAAATCATCATTAGATGTTGCATCTTTGAGAAATCATACAAATCAATGCAGCAAAATTCCTTTTTAGGGAAATCATAGAAATAAATGCAGCAGTATTGCACTTAAAATTCAACACATTTGTAAGAGATCTAGGGTTTTCTGCGTTGCTATATGGCTGCCCTAATAACAAAGTGCATTATGGCCTCTAAAATGTTATTATATGTTGTGTGTTCATTTGCCCTCATTACATATCTGAGGTTTGACAGGAAAAATAAACACATTCTTCCCTAAAGCCTAAGGCACTGCCATTGTTAGATAGTCTCTAATTTTGCTGATGGGCTGAAATAGTCAGCTGAAAACGTCAAATTAGAATGCATTGTATAAATAATTAAAATATAGATGTTGCATTTTACGTAAGTATAGTGCTCATCTAAAAAGGCATTAAGAATCGTTGATTCTGTCTTTTGCATCTAACCAGTGTGGTCAATACATTTGTATCAAATGAGGGCAAATATCACACAATACAGTGGGTACGGAAAGTATTCAGACCCCCTTAAATTTTTCACTCTTTGTTATATTGCAGCCATTTGCTAAAATCATTTAAGTTAATTTTTTTTCCTCATTAATGTACACACAGCACCCCATATCGACAGAAAAACACAGAATTGTTGACATTTTTGCAGATTTATTAAAAAAGAAAAACTGAAATATCACATGGTCCTAAGTATTCAGACCCTTTGCTGTGACACTCATATATTTAACTCAGGTGCTGTCCATTTCTTCTGATCATCCTTGAGATGGTTCTACACCTTCATTTGAGTCCAGCTGTGTTTGATTATACTGATTGGACTTGATTAGGAAAGCCACACACCTGTCTATATAAGACCTTACAGCTCGGGTCTGAATACTTTCCGTACCCACTGTATATCATAATCGTATCAAAGACAGCTGTGAATTCTGAAAGGCTAGTCTATCAACTAAAGGATAAATTGAAACAAAGATACTTGATGTCTTAATAATATATTTCAGATACTAAAATATGATTGAGAAAAAGACAGTAAATTGTGCAAAAATCAGTGCATCGTTTTCAGTTTTCTTTCTGCGAGGTCTGATTTTTAACCCCTAGACCTCTCACATTAATACATACATAATATGGTTAAACCAGTACTTTTTATATGTCTTCAAATATATATTGAAATACAAGTTTGTGTGCTTCATTATGATATCAATTTGAACTAAATATATTAATTTTTTACAGTTACATTTTAGGGAAAATGAAATCACAGCTCCACAAAGCAGGAACTCCAACACACAGACTAAAGTGCATTCAAACTCGGGCCACAGTGATTTACGTCATATTGCATACAGTTCACCTGCATTGTAGTCGTTCGGGAGGGAAATGCTTAATATTGCCTTTTCCTTGGCTATAGAAGTTTCCTTAGGATGCATTATATAATGAGAAAAATATCTTCAAAATGATCTTGATGTAGCCTGAACTCCTTATAGGCTTTGAGAAAGGATTACTGTAAATATTCCATCTCCAAAGAGTCAAATTGCTCCCAGTGTTTTTGTAAAAATGCACCTTCCACCAATGGCCAACTAAGTGAATCTTCTTCACAAAGGGCGGGTCAGCATGTTTACTTGATACTGTTTATAACCTCCACATCTGCTAGTCAGATAAATTTGAGCCTTCTCTTCTGATGTTGGGATAATGTTCAATCCAAGTGGCATACTTTCAAATGGATCACTCTGAGAGAAACAATGAAGCAAGACAACCATAAGTGTGAGGTAGATTTTAATAGTATACAACTATTTAGACAAAAGATTTGGACATCAAGTTAGTGACTTGATCAGTACCTGCTTGCTCTCAGGAGGGATCTGTGCTGGCTGTCATATTAGGGCTTCACTGCTCCTCACAGCCAGAGGTGGGGTACGTCTCCCCCTCCTGACCCTGAAACATGTACTGGGACACAGCAGCAGGGATGAGGGCATTAGCCAGCTCCTGCACATGTACACAGAAATAGTTTAGAAAATAGTTCATACAATCATGCAAGCATTAACTTAAAAATGCTTTTTTTTTTTTGAGCCATCATGCATTTAAGCAACACTATGTAGCCTTATGGCCCTCTAGCGGTTGAAGTATTAAACTACAAGTTACCTGCGGAGGAATATTGTTTTGGTAATTACGCGAGTTGTGCTTCGGCTCCGCTACTTTGCGTTGTTTTCATTCCTGTAAGAAGGGTCGCTACCCTGAGGTCTCTAACAAACGACAAGACGGATATCTAAAAATATGTTTTGAGCAGGTAAGCTTACATGGTGTTGTTGTTTTCACTTGTTGAAATCAACTGTTTTAAAATAACGTTACAAAGGTTTAGCAATGCTGGCACTAGATACAACGATTGCCATTCATATCAGATAATGGTAAAAATGGATAAAATGGATAAAAAACTATAACTTGGCAAGGCAATTTAGGCAAATAGACCAAAATAATAACTGTTAGACATTCTTCCTAACAGTATTGTTTTACGAACCTAATCAATTCACAACAAATCTGTTGCTATGCAAACTATGTTGATTCTAGTTTTATTAAGAGCACTTTTGCTTTCCCTTATTGCTTGCAAACTCTTTTTGGTTTGAGCCTGGAATTCTTTCCTTTATGTACGTTTATGATGTAAGCACACACGGACTAGCGATGAAAGTATGCAGTTTCTCTGAAATTCTGAAATATAAATAATTACTATAGAGTAGACTTACCATAGTGATTTAGGGTAAGGCAAAACATATGGTTTGGAAGATGGGTTTACGATGACATTTTATTTGTTGAAAAATAAATTACATAGTGTAGCTTTAACTATCTCAGCTGATTATTTACAAATTACAGTATACTCACTGATTTCAGGGTTGGGTCCATTTCTGTGAAGTTCCACTCGTTCAAAGACAGACTAAATGTGAAGGGCTAAGAGAAAGGGGAGAGATCATCTGTTAATCCATTATGTATTTTAAGGTCATTAAGATGATCAGGCTATCCTCCCATTCAGATGTACGTGTGTTAACATCGGATTCACTCTCTCCCTGTATCGATTCAGACTTACATCCATTGCTGCAGCACTGGTTTCCATGCTCTGCTGGTGACTCCTCAGAAGCAGCTGTAAATCCTCCAGGCTCATGTCAACATTCTCCACACCATCAGGAATCTCTGATCTTACATATAAATTAAAATAGATTTTTCAGTGAACAGAAATGTAAGTGTTGCTTATCTGTGAAAAACAATAGTCTTAACTAAGTTGTAGATATTTGTGATATGATATATTATATGCTATATTATACCTCTCCAGCATGGGTCTTTTGGCCCTTCTCTCTCCCAAATTAGATCCTCGGCCCTCTAGGACGGACTGTACCATGGCAACAGGGAGGACGGGGGGTTCAGTACACACCTCACAGGAGCCGAGTGGTACACCCTCTCCTCGTCCCTGCACCACAGGGCTCACTGGCTCGTCCTTAATCAGCATCAGACACTTTTCTCTAAACAAATAGACCATGTCTTAAATAAATTCCATTGTATTTTTTCTCAAATTTTGTTTTCTGTCAACATTTTCCGAATGGTGGAAATTTTAGGGCCCTGTAAACATAGCAGCTAGTATTAAAGGGACAGTTCACCACAAAATGAAAATTCTGTCATTGCTTTCTCTCCCGATTTAGAAGAACGTTTGTGTCAATACATTGAAAGTCAATGGGGTCCAAAACAACATGATCATAATAATGTATTAGTGTTTTGGTTTGAACTATCCCTTTAACTCTGAAGCTCGGTCCACTCACCTAGATTCCTCTGCCTGCATTTGTAAAGCCATGGTGCTGGACTGTGAGATTTCAGTGACATCAGAGATTATTGGCCCTCCTGTCATCACATTGCTAGTGGAGCAGGATGCACTTTCTGTGGATGGCTGGTTGAACATGAAAGAGTCTATGTTTGTCATATTTTATTGATTGAGAAAACCATAAAAACACCAGTTGTAAGAGGCATGATACAGTGAGTAAAATCTTCTGTGTCAGATCTTCAATCTTTAATATGAAAGCGAGTGAGTAAAATCTTCTATGTCAGATCTTCAATCTTTAATATAAAAGCTTTCTCACCGACTGGATATAGAACGATTCTTGCAAGGACTCGGAGTGGCTATGGCTGAATTTTGAGGCAGGAGGGGTGGAACGGGCATCATCCAGCATGAGAGGACTGGGGAGAAGGAAGAATGCAGCATATAATTGATAAAAGCCACATCAATAAGTGTTGACTGTTGCTGTGAGTTACAATCCTGTTGCCCTCTAGTGGTAAAACTGAAAGAACGTTGGAGAAATGTTGTCATTAGTAAGTCAGTCAGTTAAAAGTTGCAGTGGAATACCAAGCACTGGCTCTTGTGGTCCCTCTTACCCAGTTTGTTCCAATGCGTCACAATAGCTGACGCTGCACCTTTTTAATAGAGTGTAGAGGGTCATGCCCTACAGTTCAGGTGTGTGCGTGTTTGTGGGTGTGTGTGTGAGGGCAAGAGCTCAGGAGGTCTGACTCAGCATTCAGGTCCATTCATCCCAGCAAGGGCAGTGAATTGTATCAGCTGACTTGTTTCCAGCTGAGTTGGCCGTTCCCTCTACTGTGTTTGTGTTAGAGCATCAGGCTGTTGATTGCTATTTTCTGTTTGCGCTTTTTTTTTTTGTTTGTGTGTGTATCGATACAAAATCAAGTGCTTCAGATTAGTATGTGTGTTACAGATGAATGTGTACACTCACAGCTTTCTCTTCATTCCCACAGTGCTTGGAGTGTTGGACTGCATCTGGCTAAACAGGAACTGAATCAGCTATTAATAGAACAGAGAAACAGAGCGTGATTCATCGTTACTCAGTCACAAAATCTGCACGACAGCATCTTCCCCAATAATGGCCACATCAATCCACTGTCTCTCACTGTGGTTATGAACTGTATTTTTTATTACCTTGTTCATGACTTTCTGCTGTTGTGTGTGATTCTGCCTCAGTGACACCACCTCCCTCCACAGAACGTCATTTTGCCTACAAGATAGATAGATGGTTGGTTGGTTGGTTGGTTGGTTGGTTGGCTGGGTGGTTGGTTGGCTGGGTGGTTGGTTGGTTGGATGGATGGACATACAAATGGATGAATGGGTGGATAGATGGATGAATGGGTGGACGGAAAAATAGATTGATGGATGAAAGGATGGACATACAGATAGATAGATAGATAGATAGATAGATATAGTTGGTTCTTGGTTGGATGGATGGGCATACAAATGGATATATGGATGGACAGATGGATGGATGGAAATATAGATAGATGTTTGGATGGGATGGATGGACATACAGACGGATAGACAGACAGACAGACAAACAAGACAGATAGATAGATAGATCCCTAGAAAGTCCCTTGTCCCTAGAAATGAATATATTCCTGTGGGCATGTGATCAGACTACTGGCCCCTATCTGTCAGGTGAGCTACTGAAAGTGCTATTGAGGCAGCTTAAACAAAACACCAAACCACTGAGATTCACAATGCAGAGGAGCCAATGAATGAGAAGTAGGTGAAAAGTTAGAGGGATAATAGAGATGAAAGGGCAAGTTTTTGTTTGGGGTTCAGTTTTTTGTTACTAAAGGCAAGGTTCGGCAGTAAATGATGCCATGGGATTAATCGGGTATGTGTGCATGTACGTATAGATGTGTGATAAACATCTTACTGTTTCATATCCTGCATCTGCATCTCCATGTTCTCTTGTTGGCTGCGTAGCACCTGCACCTCATACAACAACTTACTCAAGTCCTCCTGCCGCACTTTGGTCTCCTCACTCTTCACTATTGACACCTGAAAACACACAAACAGTCATCAGTAATGTGAGATCATAAACCTCCAGCCTGTGTGTGTGTGTGTGTGTGTGTGTGTCAGGGCCTCCGACTCAAAGAATGAAGCAAGAGTGAGAATCACTTAAAGATGAGACGTCTCACCTTGCGCTTAATGTGTTCAAGCAGATGCTCGTGACCCTGGAGGAAATAGAGGTGCTGGAACTCGGTGTCATCTCGCTCGGGCTTCACCAGCCCACTCTGCTCAATATTCACCACCTTCCTGAAGCCGTCTGAGAGAGAAGTGAGAGGTTAACGCAAACACTATTTCAGTCTGAGGAGTCTTTGATAGCTTTGGGATGTTTGTCAGCACATAATGATACTTACACATGTTGAGCTGGCGTACAAAGCTTGCCATGTTATTGTGTTTGAAGTATTTGGGCAGAACCTCTTTGGCAAACCTGCCCTGGTCAAAAACATGGAAGCTGGTGCCCATCTAGAATGAGAGAAAACAAGCCAAAAAGGAAAACGTCTTTGCTTTGATTATAATTTGTTTTTGTGAAAGGGAGTTTTTTAATGTTCTTCCTCAAGCTATTCCTGAAGGACATTGTTAAATGCAAAACTGAGACACATGATTGCAATCAGAGAGAAGCATCTGCTAAGCGCGGCCTGCCTGTTTTTCAACCTCATTGCGTTTTCACTGTCTTCCTGCTGTTATTTATTTATTGCTTTTTTTTTTGCACACACATACAGAATGTTAAATTAAAACAACTCTAGTGTAAATGATTTTTGATACACAGGATTTTAACAAATTAATTCATGTGCCCAGTATTGGTGATGCATTGCCAAATTTATGTTAAATTAATGGTAGATATGAAAAAAGAAATAAACCAGAAGATTATGAACATATACATTCTCAAGTCTCCACATATTGATGCAAATCATTTATTTTAGAGTTTGTCATTGATTTTTTTGGTTCCAAGTTCAGGCAATACACTTTTGTTTATTGGCCTTTGATTTCACCTCTCATTGATGTTCATTTCAAATTAATTTTGAACTGAGATATTTTCATATGGATGCAGTTTGAATAGCTTGTATAAATAGAGTGCTTCTTATTACTCATTCTCAGATAACATAAGCTAGAACATCATTAATAATAATATGCAGAGCCATAGAGACTAAACCAAAGAGTTCGAGAGCCATTTTAGAGTTCGTCTTTACAGTAAAACCACTTTAAATCTACATTTCCATTATGCACAAACAATAATATGCCAGATTCACACAAGGTGGTAATATAAAATGATGAAATATACGTTGTAAATATATACTTTTCTCTATGAAAATTTCTCTCAAATGTATTTCCTAAAACAAATGATTAGGTAACAATTTACAATAAGGTTCAATTAACCGCATTTGCTAACATGAACTGACAATGAAAAATACCTCTAAAGCACTTATTAATCTGAATGGTAATTTCAGCATTTACTAATACATTATTAAAATCAAAACTAATATTAAAATATTAATATTATTTAATGGATAATGCTAACATGAAATAACAATCAGTAGATAACAATGAATACTTACATGAACTAACATTATAATATTGTAACAAATGTATTGCTAATTGTTAGTTAACTAATGGGACCTTATTATAATGTGTTACCATGATTAAAATATTGTAAAATATTTGCTTAGTTAACACTATATTTGTTTTAGAAAAAAAAAATTCTACCTCAAATAACAATATCAAAGAAACATTTTTCTACATTTCTCTCAGATTTTCTATGGACCCCCGAGTGCTCTCGTATAACTCCATTAGGGTTCCCTGAAAATTTGATAGAAAAAAAATATAAACAGAATTGATACATTTATAAAAATGTTTCTCTGATATTGTAATTTGGGCTAGGAAAAATATTTATTGTAAAACATATAGACTGTTAACTAAGTAAATATTTTCCAATAGTGTTGTTTTACCTGTAGAAATAGACAAATTATATCCAGTTATTTAATTTAGTTAACTACATATTTATACTTATGTTTTTTCTCCACATACAATATAAAAGGATCTGTATACATAACTACTTTCATTGCAGTCAGATCATTATACTTGGATGTTTTTGCCATTAAAATGTTTTTAATATCCCTCTTAATAAACTTTTAAATATGTTGTTGCTCTGCCTAATTTAAGCCTACTATCTAATCAGAGGTCCACAACAGTGAGTTCCATTCTATTTCAAATCTACACACTTTATCATATATAAATCAGCCAAAGAATGCCATTAGCGTGAACTCACAGTACTCCAGCAAATCAGATGATTGGTCTCTGGGTCCTCCACAAGAGTCCAGAGTTTAGTGAGGAAAGCAGGTACATTGCTGGCGTATCCTCCATCTACACCTATAGAGCCTGGGTTCTCCTGCATGACTACACTTGGACTTGAACACATGAGTCTTTAATCCAGTAGTATTTTAGACCATTTCCAAATCGATGCTCTCTTGGGATGCGCGTTGCTGATGCTGTTCCTCTCTCCTTCTCCTCCTCTCTCTGTCTGTGGCCTAGTCATAGGGCCATATCGCTCCCTGCCATTCCCACAGGTCAGAGTCAGCATAAAGCAATGGCCTGCAGCATCACCACTATACCCCCTCATTCAACAAAGCAGCCCACAGGAGAACAATACAGACCCACACAAAGCCTAGAATAATGCCACACTGTCACGCCAAGCAGCACAATGGCCAAACACAACCTGCACAGGAGAGTGTGCTGGGCAGATGTGTGGGGTTTTGTGTGGATTCTGAATTGTCATTCATGATGTTAAGGTTGTTGGTTAGAAAAAAAAACACTGCTTGTCTTCAAGAGGTGGAATATTTACAAATATACAGCAGCCCATATCCACCTGAGCAGGTGATGGTTTTATTAGAGTCAGATTGAAATGGCATCCATCTATCTATCTATCTATCTATCTATCTATCTATCAGTTGTGCTGCTTAATATTTTTTGTGTAAACCACAAGACATTTTTAACCACGAAACATTTTTTTCCAGGATTCTTTGATGAATAGAAAGTTCACAGTAACAACATTTATTTGAAATAGAAAACGTCTATTTGATTAAAGTAAGGGTAAAAAAGAAGCTTTACGTCAAAGTATTAGGAATGCATACACTTTTACACATAAAAATAAAACAATAAAACAATATTATTAAATAATTTATTTAATATAAAATGAAATATGAAAAAAAAAAAAATTATAATAAAATAAAATAAAAAGCTCTACCCTTATGTAACCAGCAGGGGGACCCACAATCCAGATCTGAAGTTTTTTTTTTTTTTTAGCCTTCTACCTCTTATTACTCATGCAAACCAGTCCTCACTTGGACCGATAGCTATTTTTTCCATAAAACAGTACACGTAATATAGAATATTTTTCTGCAGTTATTTATGAACACTCTGTCAAATTCAGCATCTAGCAAAAAAAGTTAATGAATAAAAGATACTGAATGCTTGACATTCAGGCATTTAATCATCAATATCATTAGATTTCTGTATGTTGACAATATTGAAATTCATTCAGTATGTCAAACTGAACATTTCTGTAAGACAAAGTGCAAAGCACAAAATGTCATTATGAAGCAAGCACCAGCAGAGGATATTAAATAGATTGCTAAGTATATATTCAACCCACAAGGTAACAAGGTTACTGAAGAGATGGGTGCAGAACATGTTAGCACAATAATATCAAAATTAATATAGATGCCTGTAAATGTAAACATAAATATATTTTTGTGAAAAGCAGCGGTTCTGAGCTAAAGCATAGAATCCATGGACACATAGACATTATAAATGCTTCTGTAGTCATTCAGGTCAAAGCCTGATTTAATTAAATGTGATTAGTAGCTGACGCATGCAAAATTAAAATCACCGGTCAGCATCTGTATATGCTAAACAGGTCATAGGCCCTTATGACAACTGACATTCTAACTGTCAAAAACTGTAGAATTACGTCAATGCAAGTCACTCAATTTTGAGAAATCCCATGTACATCCTGTAGTTAATGAATAAATATTCAGCATTAACTTCAGCAGTCAACATAAGTAAATTGTTCCCATGTATCTTGTTCCAGCAGGCACATTTTAATTAGTGTTGCAGGAAGAAGGAAGTGTTTTATTTGCATGAGGATGCACAGCTCTATCAGGTTTGTTGTCATGTAGGAGGTCGGTCTGTGTTTATGTGTGTACCCACGAGTGGAACTAGGTAAGAGACCGTTTGCTAGCTGTTGAAGATGAGTAAGACATTTCTGTTGCCAGGCATTTACAAATTAATATTTTCTGAGTAGATTAATGAGACTCAATTATGGATCAGGCTGTATGTTGTTTTTCAGCAATTTACCTCTAATTATAAGCTGTTTCCATCTCCTAAAGTAATCTTGCAGTTTCATGAGAGCATTTATTGTACTCCCATCTTCTACTTCTGAGAAATTACAGTCAAGATATTGATGAGTTGCACTCCTCGCTGTAAAAGCAATGTTTGCAGTATAACATTAGCACTGTGCTTGAATTGCTTGCAAGACCATGCCGACCTGCATGGACAAGCTGCACCAAAAATGACATCCTCATATCTGTAATTATATCGATACTTATTTTCAAACGTGTCGCTTAAATTTTCAGTCATAAAACATGTCAAATAGTCAAAAAAAAAAAGTCACCCAACAGTCTATAAAATAATGTTAAAAAGTTTGACTTTATGTTGTTTTGCACATCATTTGAATTTGTCAGATGCCTGAAAAGCCTTTCATCATTCATCATTCACAATTATTTATTTGTTCACTCAATTATTTTTTTCAGGGTTAAGCATTAGTGTGAAGTCCAACAAAAAGCTAAGCTGTGCAAAAAGATAATTAAAATGAGTAATTAATGATATAAATCATGAATAAATCCCTTGATTTATTTTGTCATTGGTATTATCATCATAAAAAATAAAATACAATTAAATTAAATTAATAAAATTAAAATAAATTTAAAAAGTGGAAAAGTACTTCCCAGTTCAAAGTTCAGAGTAGAAATAAACTGTTCAAATGTTCACATTAATTCCCCCCCCCAATTTTTTAATTTAAACATCGTTGCTGGCATAACCCATTACTGAAATTAATTATTATATAATAAAGAACAAAGGTAAAGTTGTCATTTATAACTAATAATGTCTATTATTAATAAAGTCCAGTCGTAATTTACAAATCACATAATGAAATGTTGACAAATATTGTCAGTTTGGACTCAAATCCCTAATCTGCCTTAGTGCGTCATATAAACATTGCAGGGCCAAGAAATCACTGGCCTGAGGGTCAAAGAGCACATGATGCACGATTTAAAACAGTCATCAGTGCCTGCAGCTGCGAGGTCAGTCATGATCTTGTTATTAATAAATTTGAGAGCCAGGATTAAACTAATGAACTTGGTGGCCTCGGTCTGAACAGCCAAGGCGGCAGCGCAGCTGCGTTTATGCAGCATTATGCTAATGCTAATCTGGCCAAACACATAATCCATTAGTGATTAAACACTGTGAGGAATTTGTACCATGAACACATGTCCATTCATCCTTTCAGAATCTACTTGGACACAAATCAGAGAGAAAATGAATGGTTAATGATCAAACTTAAATAATTAATTAAATACTTGTGAGATGCAGTGGTGACCCTGAGGGTTTGTCAAAACAGATTATAGAAGACAGCGATGAGAATGTGTGTGTGTGTGTGTGTGTGTGTGTGTGTGTGTGAGAGGAAGTATCCAGTCACACACACGTCAGCTTGAGTGGTGTGTTAGAACTGTGACGTTTAACTTCAGGTGGAACTAAGGCCATAAGTGAGATCAAAGAAAAAAGAGAAACAAATTATATACATATCCTAGTCTAAAACTAGTCTGCAATTCAGTTTGTGAGGGATGAAAGGAGAAATACAGTATGATGTTGATTATTTTAGCATCATCTTGACAATTTCTTATGCTGTATATACACTACCTTTCAAAATTGTGTTTTGCTCAAGGTTTTATACCAAGGTTTAATATGAGCAAAAATATTATTAGTTAGTATTTAAAATAATAAAATAACTTTTTTTATGGGATGATGACAAAGCTGAATTTTCAGCAACCATTACTCCAGTCTGTAGTGTCACATGATCCTTCAGAAATCATTTTAATATGCTGATTTTTATCAGTTGTGCTGCTTAATATTTTTGCGTAAAGCATGATACATTTTTTTCCAGGATTCTTTGATGAATAGAAAGTTCACAGGAACAGCATTTATTTGAAATATAAAACTTTGTAAATGTCTTTACTGTCACTTTTGATCAATTTAATACGCTCTTGCTAAATAATAGTGTTAATTTCCTTCGAAAACAAACTGCATGGAAGCATTATCACAGAATATACATATACACTACAGCTTGTCGCACTATTTTCTTTCAGACTTACTGTAAGATTTTCACCTGGCTGATGTGAAAATATTCAAAATAGCATAGCAGTGCATTAAAGGGGTCCTATTATGCTTTTTCACTTTTTTAATTTTAGTCAGTGTGTAGTGTGTATGTTTGGGCATTAAAAAGATCTAGAAAGTTACAAATCTCAAAGTCCACTCCAAAGGGAGATATTTCGTTTTTTAAAAATCCCTTTTCAAGAACTACAACGAACGGCTCGTTTGGTCTACCAAAGCCGGAACTAATCGAGCCGTTTGTGGCAGGATGGGGAGAAATGTTCTGCATGAAAATGAGAGCATGTTCTAGTACACCCCCAAAACAAAATCAAGACTTTGTAAAAGAGCATAATAGGGCCCCTTTAAGAAAAGGATGGGAATATCAAGAAACCTGAGGGCTGTTTTGCCCAAAGCCAGCAGGCAAGCACATAGCAACCAATATGAACAACGCAGCAACCACTTAGAAATTCCTCAGCATCCACCCAGAAAACCGTAGCTTCCTAAAATGCTGAAAATCACTTATTTTCAAATGCATCACAGCAGCAATTTTTGCATTAGAGCACCACTCACATTTTCCTCATTTTTTTGTCATAGCTTTATATCAGAAAATATTTAACAAAAATATATATAACCTAAAAATGCAAACAATATAATCTAAAAACCAAACACAATATAATCGATTAAAAAAATCAAACAAACAGTATCATCTAAAATATAGATAATCTAAAAAAAAGAGCGAGAAAACGAAGAATTGCCTGGTTTAGCAGATGGTGAAAACGGTTTGTTGCCCTCAAACAAACCAACAGATAGAGCAACTAGATGGTGTGTGAAGGTGATATTTTCAAGTGTTCAAAGCCCTTTCACATTCTCTGCACTCGCAGACTCAGAGTGCATGCGACCAGCTGTCACTTGATACTACCATGTGTGTTCAGAGCAGAAGTGTGCAGAAACATCTACGTGATTGTTGGCTTGACTTTCCACATGATTTCAGACACTTCCCTTGCCCTCACTTAGCCTGTTGCAAACAAAAACAATGCAGCCACTTTAGGTCAAAAGGACACTTACATGTTTGTAAGGTCAATAGTTCTTCAGTGTTTTCAACAAACCAACTGGCTCTGACTTTTACATGATTTCTCAATAACAAATTAAATTCCAATAGTTCAACACAGTATATGGAATCATGATTAATGTATAAAGATATAACTAAACCTGACCTTTGATTCTACTTAGTACATACTGTACAATACTATAGAATAATTTAAACCTCTTCTTTTTGAATTACCTCATGGAGTGCCATGCACAGTGTCAATAGAATTCCGTCTGAAAAGTCAATGCATGAAATTAGATCCATTTACTGTAATAGGCATCCATAATGTGCCTTTATCAAGTCTGCTCTGT